AAACAAGATAAATTATTTCTAACAATTGATTTTGAGTGATGATAGTTCAATGTTAAAATTAATCAAGCATTCCCAAAATCTACTCAACATAAATCGGACTCGAAATGAAGATCAAAGTGAAAGTTAAGTATTAAAGTCAAATCATTCGAGACGAGAGCTTAAAAGTTAAACGTCAAGAAAAAGTAAGATCAAAAGCATCAGAGACGTCATCAAAAAAAGATCAAGGGGAGAAGTCTAAGAGACAAACTTCGAAATAAGATTAAAAAAAAACTAGACTTCTTAGTTCAAATATAAATGTACTGATACTTTGATATTTAGTAATAAATGATAAAAGCTCAAAAATCACTTTATGCACTAAAAGATTATTTTACAAAAACACTTGCATAAAAAATTATTTTTCAAAGGTTTTCAACTTTATATTTTAAACTTTTTTTACAATGCCACTCCTTCAAAAGCCTATAAAAAAAAGTCAAAGTCAATCAGATGTCTGGTTGACCAGGCGAACGTCCGGTTGGGCTGAATTTTTTTGGCGTTTTGAATGCTATAAATATCACCTCACTATGCATTCACAAACAACTAGAATAATGTTTGCTTGAAAAATATAATTGAAAAATCCTCTTTGAGCTTATATTTTTGCAATCATTTCATTTATTTATTCATAACAAAAATTTTGATTGTTGAATTAAATTTTTTGAATCATTTCTCTCATCAAAAGTTCTTCATCTCTCTTTTGCGCTTAATTTACTTATATCAATTTAAAAAGAAATATATTTTTGAAGAAGATCTTTACACTTATTTTGCATAAATATTTCTACTTCTTCATATTTAAAATTTGATTGATTTAAACAAACTTGAAAAATCAGCATATTCATCGAAGTTTTTAATCTCTCTCTTAATACTTAATTTATCACAAATTATTCATTGAAAGAGAGAGATATTTTTTTGAGAAAATTTTTGCACTTACATTACGAAAACGTTTCTTCTTCTTCATATTGAAATTTTGATTGATTGAACTAAACTTGTAAAATTATCATATTCATAAAAGTTTCTCATTTCTCTCTAGTTCTTAATTTATTACAATCATCCATTAAAAGAAAGATATTTCTTGAGAAAATTTTTGAACTTACATTATATTTATTTCTTCATCTT